AACGTAACTGCTAACTTCGATGCTTGTCGCGCCTCCCTTGGAAACAACCGGTTAACTGGATATGTTTCTGAAACTTGGAAAGAGCTGTATAGAATCAAAGAATCGTCGATTTTATACCCACTTAAATATCCCACGGATTTAACTTTCGCACCAGCTTGCTTTTAACGGCAATCATTGTTTTATCAGCATGAAAATGGTTTGAACGTTACCAAGAAAATCCTTTTTGTTTCTCCATTTTTGACGTTGGTTAAGACATCAATTGAAAATATTTTTTTATACGATACTTTGTATGTTACACAGAAAATATAAATTGATAGTGGATAAGTTTTGACAAAAAAAGAGAAAAAAAAGGTTGTTGTATCGAAAAAAAAAAAAAAAAAAAAAAATCGTTATTCTTCAATTCTTCCTGAAATATCAATCAGCGTTTATAGATTCCCTACGTATCGAAATCACCGTAAAATCTGCCCCGTAAAGTGGTGCTGCCTGCGCTCACCTGCTGTGTTAGTGCCTGCCTGTTGCTTTAACGACGCTGCGCTGACAGGTAGTGAACGAGAATACCCGTTAAACTATCGAGTTTATCGTGCAGAAGATCATAAAATCTGGCAGGGAAATATTCTCAGGGATTTCAGATTCGATTGCACGGTCCGACAGTATGAATTATAATCGAGCCTGAAAATTTATCCGGGCTCTCTTTTTATCATTATTCTTCCAGCCCGGAAACAAAACGATAGCCAACGTGCTTTTATCGATGTCAACGTTCGGCCGAATTTTTCAGTTAGAAAGCCTTTTTTGCTCGACTACCGAGCGACGATTTGTTATTTTGAGCGAACGAGAGGACAAAAACGAGACGAAATTTCATCCAGAAACGCGTGAATTCCCGTGAGAAAGTTCTACGTCTGACACGTAGGAGAACACACCTGTGGTAACCGTGGACGATGAAAATGCACGCTGTTGGTCGAGATTTACTGTTGGTTGCGGGTTTGCAAACCCTATAAAGACCTATGTAACCCAAAAGATTATCTAAAAGAACGACGGTCCATTGCACCATCTTTTCTCCACCAGAGTCCACTGTCCCGCAATCGCGCATCTCCGATCGCATATGGCTACCCTTTCTTGTCGTATTATTAAATCCCACACTGATTTCTGCTGGTTGGATTCATCAAAAGTAGAAAAAAAAAGAAAAAAAATTGGAAAACTGGACATTACCTAAATTTAAGCCAGTTGGACTAATTGTAAATAATACGTATTACTCGTGTAGAGATGGACATGCTTTTAGAAGAAAATAATTAGCGCATATACGAAGAGCTGAAATTGACGAGTGGCAAAAAATGATTTCGTAGGTTGCTGCGAAATGTAGGAAGCCTACAACAAACGTACAAACTTTAAAACATCGAGATCAAGTTGTTGTCAAAGTGAGTTCATATCAATTGACAGCCTCATTGCGAAATAGTTATTTGGTCGTTTCGAAGTCGCGCAATGTTTTTGATGTCGCGAAACTTGAAAAGCTTTACTCTTGAAGAACCGTCGACGATAAGGTTGCTCGAAGGCGGTGTCGTGTCGCGTCGATCTGTGAAAGGGTCGATAATTTCGTCGGTTCTAGGCATCTCGAGTGTAATTTAACGGAGGACCCAGAGCAGCAGCTGCGTCCCGACGGTGGCGGACATGGGACCGCAGTCACAATAAACTCTCATAATTCACTTATGCGATATCCTAGCAGCGTATGAAGCTGTAGCATCGGTAAATGCCAGAGAAATTGAATGCAAGTGCCCGTTTCGTATATTCATTTGTATACGCACGTATACGATTATTCATACCTGACTATTGTACGTGCTCAACGCGGGATCTATCGTTCGTGGTAATATTCATATGGATGGACGACAGATGGAGATTTCGATACATTGTGCGCGGCTAGTCGGCAGAATAATGGGTTTTATAAGCGTAAAATTCCTCTTAACGAAAGAAAAATCATGATGAAAGTTCGTCAAACTCTTGGCAAATTATTGGAATTATTAATTCTATTAATAGAATATTAGAAAACATTATATTTGCTTGTATGGAATACGAGTTAATTCATTTAATTTATTTCCTTATCATCTCGAAAAATCGAGATGATAAGGAAATCATCTTGAAATTTAATCCTCCGAGTACTGTGCCGAGGTCATTTTAGACTCGCTGGATTCAGGCTACGTACACAGACATAGGCTCCCCACCATCGCGTTAGTTCCTTATAGCAAGAGTCCTATTCCTATTACAGCCGGTTGTGACGACCCAGATGTGACGACCATCGACAGGTATAATAAACTACTACGAAGAACGAGGATACACCGACATACCTTTTTTGAATATCTTTCTCCTTTGTACATTTTCAGTATAGTCATTTTTTCATCCTTTCTTTGTAATTGCTAAAACACAGCAGTAATAACCATACCCTTTTTCTGGAAATATTTAACGATAAATAGGAAAATATAGCCTATATAAGTTTATATAGTTTCTACTCGCCAGTCTGCTTTAGACAGCATCCGAACAAAGTAGAGGCGCTCTACTCACTCGGCAACAGTTATCATTGTTATTTTCATTGTTTTTATTTGTTATTTGTTTATTTGTTTGATATGTCCGTGCAACAAGCAAACGAACCTTCTGCTTTTTCTCTTGTGGAAGATTATCACAATGATGTTGAATAAATATTATTTTTTTATAAACCACGATACTGTTATATTTTTCTATATACATCTAAAATCCGAACATTACACACAATACGCACGTATAGCGATAAATGTTCAACCCTCAGCGTATTGGTGTAATGTTCGTGAGGACCTCGAGTCTCGAGCGACCGTCAACGTGTTGGTATATACACGTGAGCTCGACCCTCGAGCAATCGTAAATGCATCTGATTAGTGGAATATCCGTGTGCGTCAGAAATGACCCTGGCACAGGACTGCGCGCTTCAGTACTCGGAAGGTTAATTAAAATTTAATTTGTCTACAATGTAGGTTATTTATTTAAAATTTGGTTTCTATTATAGCGAGTACAAAAAGTATGAATACGTCATTACATTTATTAGAATTGACATATTAATTAATTGAGTAGAGCTTGGTTTATATGAACTTGTCAACAAACAAATTGTATCGAGAAATTGGCTAGGCGATGAGTGTACATGAAAAAATAGCTCGAAGAAACGAGTGTAAGTTCAGATTTTATTCTCGAGATTGTCAAATTTCGTTTGACAATCAAGATGTATCAAGTGAATTTGGTTAATTCCGGATTAGACAAGAGAAAACAATTAAAGATTTGGGGTAAAATTTTATTGTACGATGCCCTATTTCTGAAAAAATTCAACTCCATGTGCATTAGGCTAATTCTTGTTCTTTACTAATTGAATATATTTGCCGCTAGTCCGTTGTACTATAGTTTTCGGTACGATCTGTATAATAGAATTCTGTTTGTATGGACTCCATACAAATTATTTGAACTAAATTTTAGTCCTATTACTAACTCTAATTATATAAACTATTTGTCCGCCAATAAATTTATATGTGTAAATAAAGTTATCTATAGAAATGCACAGATGAATGATGAACCGATTCGGTTCACGTAATATGAATTCACATTTAGATAAGTAGACTCGAAGTTAATCAGGCACTGAGTAAAAATTCCATTCCAGCAGAATTTTATCATAACGACGTATCGACGTATGTTTCGTATCGTATATGAATAATTCATAATTCGTATCACTTAGTAGCATTTTTACACGATTACAAAAACTTGATATATATTCTGAAAACGAAATACAAAACCTGATACAAATATATTTTATTGAAAACGAAGGATATGTGCCAGCATCTCTTCTGGACATTCCACATTTGCACATTTGTTTACTTTGCGGCTACTAAATTTTTCTCTTACATAGTACGAAAGGGAATAGTTACTTGTCGCTGTCGCGTCCAGAATCCCAAGAGATTACTGGAAGGTGACACAGTTAATCAAAATTCCGGATGAAACTAATCAACGTATCACGAACGATAACCATGTGGAACGTAATGATCCGGCGGTGATACGATCCGTATTGTTGTCGGTCTCCTAATTGCGAACTGTTTCAGCGTGCAATAGGCGCGACGTGCAATCTGGCAGCGACGATGGTCGGTGACGGTGGTGATGGTATGGCATGGCGCTGGCACAATAGATTCGGTTTGATGCATTGCCGGAGCGCAGGAGACCGTTAATTTCGTGTCCTCGTGGCCCACCGCGCCGATTGCTCGGCCGATTCTCCGTCAAACGTCGTTCGCGTTAATAATTCATCCAAGTAAATAATAGCGTTTGCCAAGATAGACCGGAGAATCCCACCAACCACCAGTTTGTCACCACTGCTCAGATTCCAGAACATCGACCTATTTCTCTCGTTGATACGTTTATCTCATTCATACGCCCAACCATCTTACGCGTATCCATCTCTGTGTACTTGTAACGATCGAAAATGATTGATAAAAAAGGAAAGTACGCCATGTTGGTTCGAAAAACGGCATATATTTGAGATAAATGATTATTTCTGGAAGAATTTGAACGGTCATATGCAGAGTTGGTTAACTAATTTTCGGCAATTCGAAAGGAGTAGAGAGAGGGGGCGGATGTGACAAAGTAGGAACTAGAATTGCATTTTGGAACGTGATTCCAGCTCGGTGATGCGAAACTTAGATGACGCGAGACTGTACAGTTTCCTGAAATACGTGTTTACTTTCGAGGAAATTACCGTACCGCGTAATAGAGGGTCTCTTTATATGGTTAAGACCGGTTTAATTACAAACGTGATTTACACGCCAGCTTGTCTCATATTTATGTTAATATGTTGGCCGTTTGTTCACGCGCGCCGGTGGGTCCGTCTTGTCTGAGAAATGTAACCAATCGCTGTCATCGAGCATAATCACGCCCACGCTACGGTCCGCTCGTGTGGCCGATACGGTTCCCATAAACGTTAGACGATGCTCACGCTTCTGCGTTTGTTTCAGAAACAATGCAAACGTTGACGACGTCCTCCCAGTCGTGGTGCCTGCTCAGAGGAAAGAGCCCCACGAAAACATCGCCCGGATAGCGAAGCGATATTTCGACGATAATATGCAGCAGGCGTGGATCAATCCTCGTCTATTATCGATGGTGAGTGAATATAAACGTTACCGCGTTAGACGATGTATGTATGTACATTCTCATGTTCCTGTCGTAGCAAATCTATTATGCCACATATGCCCGCTCAGCTGTAATTTCAAACGAACAACAAATTAATTCAGTTACGGGAAATGTGCCGCAAACGTCGACAAGTTTCTGCGATTAATTTTCCACTCGCGGAAACTATCGAACAAGTGTAGAAATGGAATTGCAAACTTTTAATGATTTTCTCGGGGAAAACTTGCTTTTTCTTTGAAATTCTCTCGATTCAATAAAGATTCCTTCCTTTCCCTCTACTGGCGCAGTGCTTCGTTTACCAATCTAGAGAGCTTACGCCGCAAATTCTCTATCTCTATAGGCCGTTCAGAGCATTTAAAAGCAATCGCACGGATAGATATTGAGAAATAACATAAGTAAAGTGCTTGAAATATCGTGCTACGACTAAACCTTATCGATAACCGCTCGAGTGGACAAAGATGGTTTTTATTAAAATCCACCGATTGGACCGGTCGATTTACGCCTCGAACTGGTCTAAGGGATTAATATGTACATACGCGCCGTTAGAGATGTTTAATCACGAACACCTTGTAACGAATTCTTTGCTCGTTATTTTACTTTCACGCTCTTTCTTTCCAAACAACGCTTTGGCTGTTCTGGTTGTGATTCGAAAATTCACGATAGAAAATTTACCAGTTGCCATTTAACAGACGCGTTGGAATTTTCATCGGACTGATTCGCGAACTGTTATTGAAATTCCGCTTCGTCTGTTTCGCTTTGTACGCGATATATTCGAATGACAGGACACTGCAGCGGACGGTACAGTTACCTGCGGAGAAGTAGAACAAATGGACGAGTCATTAAACAAGCCAATAACAAACTCGCGATTCATATAACCCTTCGTTACGTCCGCGGCTGTTATTAGTCCGTACGGACCAACAATCATCGCTGTGTCATGTATGACGCGACGAGTTGTTTCGTAACGTTAAGACCTAACTGAGTCGTTGCTTTCTTTTTCTTTCTACTTTCTCTCCAGATCTTCTCAGTCCTTTCTTCTTCTCCTTCTTCTTTTTCGTATTCGGTCACGGATTTCTCCTTTGCCACGATCTTACGTAACATCTTCGATGTGCTTCTCTGTGCTTCTCTGTGCTTGGCCCAGTCGATAATTCGACTTACCAGCTCGTACACCTGTATACATCTCAGCATACAGTGACGTAATCAACTGTATTCGTTATTGTCTTCCGCGTCTATTCTAGGATTTTTTATTGGCAACTTTATCCGAAGCCAGTTAAATCTTAATTCATTTTATTTCGCCTGATGTCGACGATTCTGATAATCGATCAAATTTGCAAGGATTCTACTATTCGTAGATCTGACTGTCGTTTCATGTCATCTGCACTTGGCACGACGGTAGTAGAGAATTAAAGATACATACGGAGAATCATGTGTAAATTCGATAACAAAAATAACAAAAGTATCGCGAAAAGTATTGTTGGTAAAAAACAATGTTCACTCGCACGTCACATCTTTAGGAACAAAGTTGCAACTTACGAGAAGCGACGTATGTATCTCAACGGACGATATTTCAGGCAGTGACGAGCGGTGACAGGTGACGAGCTATACACGAAATAATGTATATTAGCATGTGCCATGATATCTGTGCATCAGCGGTATATCGCGTATTTGTCAAATCAGTTAAAAGGCAACAATCCATGTACGCCAGCAAAATGTGGCCGTCTCGCAGTTACGCTACTGTCGTCACACTTGTGTACGCGTGCGTGCTTACCAGCCCCGACAAGATTTACCGATCATTCCACGTTACTTATTGCTGCCGGCTTTATTAGCATAATCGGCCACTAGAAGCATAGATTATCTCATGAAACCGGATCATCGTTCGATCGACAATTCGATCGTCCAGGACGAGTTTTGAAGCATACGTGACCGGTAGTCTACTTCCGTCAGCGATAGCTTACACGATAAAACAAGATCTTAAATGAAGACCAATTTATCGAATGATATTTAGGCTATAAGCAGTATTTCATTGATATATAAGAAGCTAAGAAATATTCAACTCGAATGCAAAACTATCGATTGGACCTTGTAGGGGCTCTATGTAGGTTGTTGAGCAAAAACAAACTAAACTTTGTGTGTTATTTCACATTGGTATTTATTGTCTGCAACATGTCGCGGCATGCGTGGCAAGAGTTGATGCAGGAAACGCCCTAGGTTCGCGAGTTGGCCGAACTAAGATGTCCCAACTATTGTCACGAGCGCGTCGAAGTCGGTCTTTATATGAGACCAACTCTTTGTACTATTCTCAGTCACGCGGGAAGATCTATTTTCGACAAAAACCGTGGGTAAAATTCTTTTCAAAGGTAATTTTCACAATTACTTTGGTCTAACGATACTGTCCGGAGATCTCTGCCTCTCTTTCTCTCACACGTTTACAACGTTGCCTAGGTAGTGTTCCCTACACGATCATTTATCGACAATTAGATACTTCATCTTTCAAAAGTATTTTTTTAATTTAGTATCTATCGCTTTTTTCAAGTTTTAGAAACAAATTTACTCTGAGCTATCAATTATCCTTTAGTCTGAAATACCTGTTACCTTGTGGTTATCCAATGGTCGTCACTAGTGATCATTTTCTCGGAAATTGTTCCTGTCCAGAATATGCTATTACTTTGTCGTGGACGTTGTTCGATCTGCGGTCTTCCAGCGGTCGCTACACTTCCTTCATAATTGACCTTGCTTCAGCTTCCGATTTCAAATTATTGTCGAGGATAACGTCCTCCATTTTATCTATTGGTACACGCACGAATTACACATGATAAATAACGCGTATAATTTGCTATTTCGTGACAAGATGTTTCGTGTTGGTTGTAACCGGTTCTAAATTTCCAATGACTTTTTTTCCCCTTTCTTCTGTAATCAATAGACAATGATTTTCAAGAGAATTTTCAATTCGTTTTATGCAAAATATATTCGATGGTTCAGTGCTTGAACAAGATTAGATATTTCAATTTGTGCCTCGATTAGAATTATTTCGCACGCGAGGGAAATCAAGGTGTTAAACAAATAAATTATGAATCAACCATTATCGTTGAGCACGACAGTTGAAAAGAGAAAGAGGAGAGGGAGAACGATGAATACTATTTGTTGGAACGATTAATGGCGCAAACAAGAAAAGTTAATTAAGAAACGAATGAAGCAAGATTCATTCACAGTCTCATCAGCCATTTTACTAATAATTTTGGAAATTCAGAGAATTAGAAGAAGGTGCAGGAAACAAACGTGCATGTGGTACCGTGTCTATACTTGCTTACGTGTATCTTACGGATAGATGTACGTATACACAACGGAATCGTCTATCTCGACGCGATTCCCCGAGTACCCCGCACTCAGTTCCTTTAATAACAATAATAATAAGAAGGGATGGAGGCCCGTTTTAATCAGAGGGTCTGCCTGCCTGACGTGATTAACTCGAAGAGCTCTGGGAAGACGAACAGAAAGCGGCGGAAGGGCGAAGTGGGATGAAAAAGGGGGAAAGATGCGGGGTGGCTGCTGTCATTTTCGGTGTTTATCGTATCAGCGAGCCGAGAGGGGCTTGATTTCGTCACCTCTGCGCAGGAAGATGGGGTTAAATCTTGGATTTTACGGCCGATTTGTACCTCCTTCCAACTTGCTTTTTTTTCTATCTCTTTTTTTTTTCGGTGTTGCCATCAAGCGACCACCACCGTTTGCGCCGATCTACCCTTCGCTGTTACTCAACCGTTCGAGCGTAGAAAATGCCTTCCTCTCCTCTCCTCTCCTCTCCCCTCCCCTCCCCTCCTTTCCTTTACCGATCTTATTTTTGTTGTAGCCATTTCTCAGCCGACAGCGGATAGCACAATTTTATTACGTAATATTAATGTACAGTTGTTTGCTTCATCGGGACGGTCATAAATCAAGGTTGTGCGACGGCGGTGAATAATAAAGGAAAACGCGGGTAATTAAGTGTTATCCGAGTAAATTATTTCTCGGGCAATCGATCGACGTGTCGTTAGTTGAAATCTTCTCGTGATATTTTCCAAGAATATGGTCGACGTGTGGCGTGACACAGACGGTATCGACGGCAAATCTACACAAAAACGCGTAATAACCTTGGTCGCGTGTATTGTCCGTGATTTTACCGTGAATAATTTAAAAAAGAAGACTCAAAGATGAATGCTATTATGTGTGCTATTCAAAACGAGCAGAGAGAACCTCCTCGAAGCTACAGAGAAGGATTTTACTTCGGAGACGTCGCTCTTCTTTCCGGAATTAAAGTCATGTCTATGGAGTCCCGACATTGAGAACGTCTCCGCTATTTCTCTTCCCAGACCCCCACCGTTGCTTTACGTCCCACGCTTTACGTTGGACGTCTAATTAACAAGGTTTTCCCGAGGGTTTTTAAGGCGTCTCGTGCTGCCGACCAAGTAGTAAATACCGTCGCATGGCAATCGATTTGTTTCGCTATGTTTCCTTCTCGCTTATTCTCTCTCTCTCTCTCTCTCTCTCTCTCTCTCTCTCTCTCTCTTTCATTTATTTACTCACTCACTCCCATCTTATCGAACACTCTTCCCAAATCTTCCATTATGTTCAGTGAATTTTACGATAGAACACCTTTTCGATATTTCTCCCGGCCGTGATTCTATGCAGTCAGATCGGAGAACCCCGAACCTCGATGGTGCGGAAGAAACTGGTTTCTTCCGAGTCGAAAGAATTCGCCGAGTCACCCTGTACAGAAATTATTACACCGGGGTGCGATGACTTCTTAAGTAGTATCGCGCCTTCGTGTTCTCGCTATTTTCGTAGCAAGACGCTCTGTGACTTCCGAGCTCGATGAATATTTCTGAATATTTCTACGCCGGAGATTTCATAGCTCTTTTTCTCCCCCCCCCTCTCTCTCTCTCTCTCTTCTTTCTGTGTATCTTTGTGAAAACTTATTCTTCTTCTTATTATTATTATCATTA